TTTTGTTTTCTGTGTGTATGTATAGGTTTTGGGATGGGATTTTTTGGGTTATTACTAGTTGGTTCAGATTTCATGTGTACAGAAGAATGCTGATGTGTAGTCTTATGATTTTGATGTACAAAGGGAGAGGGATTTTTTCTATCTGGGTATAGTTACTCTAAGAGTGAACGTATAAGAAAATCTTGAACTGTTTTATTCATCTAATGTAAAACAAGGCAAAATCATTTTGTTGCTCCATAGAGGTGGTCATCCTCTATTTATGAATACATATGAATTTTCAAAAACAAAGAAAAGTCCTTTATATTTCTTATCAATTCCCTAATTGATTAGTTCATATTCATAAGTCAAGATTGACTCACGAATGCATCATGACTACCTAACTATTAAGAAGAGCCCTAATGGTTTGATTAAATCTTTTAGTGCACAATTTTACCATAATTATTATCCATTCATTATCTAATATCTTGACAAGACTTAAAGCATAGTGCAGTGTCTATTCTAATTTTCCTTTTCCATTTTGCAATTACATCTAATAATCAAACTCATCATTAGAGAGTGCACAAACTTTTTTGTTGACATCGCTAGTTGGCTTGGTCAAGGATTTCTTTGAGTTATTACTTTTCAAGTTATAATAGGATATTCTGTTTAGTTTCACTTAAGGTGATGAACCCTCTATTTATTATTGACTTGTCTTCATGTGTTTTATTCTATGTCTAATATCCATCCATTTTTAGTATCCTTGATTATCACCACTTGAGATAGTGTCAAAAAATAACATTTCACACATAAGGTAATTAAATAATTTCAAGTTTAAAGATCACAAACACAACTAACATATAAGAATTCATTTCATAAATACTTAAGTGATAAACTAAATCAAATTCTCATAGAGGGTCATGTTCAGTAAACTTATTTTTGTAACAAACACCCACATCATGGTTCAAGTACTTCTAAATTTCAATCTATTAATGGATTGCTCATTTAACAAGCGCGGAAAATAATCAACTCTCAATCTTTATGTTTCATTAATATCTATTTTTCTTAATAAAATATTGATTAGGAACAATTTAAGAATAATGTTTTGATGTAATAAGGTTCTCATAATTATAACTTTTCATAATTCTTTTACTATCGTCTTTCAATGATGATGATGGAGGAAATTTAGAAAAAAAAAAAAAGAAGAAGAAAGAAAGATACACTCAAGGTAGATAAAGAAATAAATAAAACGAAAAATGAAGGTTTTTATATTTTAAGTTTAGGTTTTATTTTATATAAAGTAATGCTTCGATAAAATGATTAAAAACATTTTTTATTTAAAATTCTCTTGTGATGCGCAAAATAATAGGAGTGAACATTTTTATTTAAATAATAAGAGCCTGTTTGGCCTAATTTATTTTTTTTAGTTTAAAAGTTATTGTAAAACTTTTATGAAAAATAATAGATTTTAAAATTAAGTTAAATTTGTTTGTTAAGTTATTTGACAAAACAAATTATATAAATACTAATTTTGGTTAAAGTTATCATAAAAGGTTTTTCTATCATCTTCAATCACCTAATAAACCAAAGTAAAACAAGTCTACTTTAAGTTTATATATGATTTCAGATGTTAAAATAAAAAAAAAAGTCATACAGAAATGTAATAACTTTCAAACTTTATATAGTAATAGTATTATTAGATTTTTGTTGATCTATTAAGTAATTAGACCATGATGCTTTAATTCTCAAGAAAGAAAAGAAAAAAGGAAACGATGTATTTGACATTAAAATTCTTTTTAGTGAAAAGAAAGAAAATTTTAAATAGTATATGAATATAACTTTGAATTTTGATCTTTTTTTTTCTTAATTTTTATAAGAAGAAAAATATTTTAGGTTTTACTATTTTGTTATTAGGTTTTTTGTTTTTTTTAATAGTTTTTATAGAAATTGGTTGAGTAGAGAGAGATCGTGATTTGCATTGAAGAAAGATGATTTGCAAAAAAAAAGAGATAAAGAAGGAAATTAGTTGAGAAAGAATGAAGTGGATTTCTTGAAAAACTAATGAGTTCTTAAAAACAGAGAGGACAAAGCTCATTTTTAGAGCTTTCAAGACTTTGATTGTCAGGAGAAGAAAAAAAGGAAAAGTAAAGAGAGAAAATCTAATTTGAAAAAGTTAATTTTGTTTTAATACAATTATGTAAAATTAAATTATATTTTTAATCATCACATTTAATTTTTAATCAAAGAAATCAATAAACTAGAAAAAAA